TTTATTTTTTTTTCTTTCTAAAACTTGTCGCGTATTCAACAGATAAAAATTCATCAGAAAAAAAATTTTCTTTTTTTTAAAAAAATTATTATGTTCATTTTCCTCAAGATAATTGCTTGGGAAAAATTATTATTATTATTATTATTATTATTCTTTTAAATCAAAAATTCAAACCATTTTTTTATTGTCCCCCCCTCCCCCTTTTTTTTTAAATCTTGGATAATTTAAAAAAATTTTTTTTCTTCGACAATTTTTTGTTAAAAAAAACTTTTTGATTAAGAATTTAAAATTTAAAAAAATTAAGAATAATTTTTTTTTTTTTTTAAGGTACGATGAACCTTACAAAACATGGCGTTAAAATTACTCCTTTGCAAAACCTTCCCCCTCTCCCTTCCACCCCACCTAATCTGAAAGTCTAAAATTTTTTTTTTTTTCTCAACTTTATTTTGTTAAAAAAAAAAAATTTTTTTTTTGGCTGGAATCACGTTGTGGGCCGCCACATGGAATCCAAATAAAGAAAAGAAAAAAAAAAAAAAAACCTTCCGAATTTTCCAAAAAAAAAAAAAAGGAAAAAAAGGAAAAAAAATTTCCTTTGTATAAAATATTAGTTTTATTTATTTCCGAATCCATAAATTTTTTTTTCTTTCCCTCCCCCTTTCCCTCTCTCCCCTTTCCCCGTCCCCCGTAAAAATCATCAATATTATTATTATTATTATTTGTTTCTTTTCTTTTTGTTTTTTTTTTTCGAATCCTAATAATAATAATAATAATTTTTTTTTTGGTTAATATTAAAAACGTGTTAAGCTGGAAAAGAAAAAAAAAAGGAAAATTTTTTTTTTTCGCGTGTGCGTGCAAAAAGGATACGAAAATCTCTCACGCAAGATTATGATCTCTAGACTTGCAATAAACTGGCAAATGATTGCCCCGTCGGGAAATGAACAGTTTTCATTTTATGCTCGGCCATTTTGAAAAACTTTCATTTCCTTCTACCCCTCTCTTCTTACCCTTTTATTTCATCCCTTCTCCATCTCCTAAATATATATATATATATATATATATTTAATATTAAAACAAAAAAAAATAGAAGAAGAAAAAAAAAAGGGTTTTTCCCATTGAAATATTTTTATTTACGTCCTCCCCACCCTCTTCCTCTCCTCCCTCCCACCCTCCTCTCCCCCCGTTATTACGAGTATAACGACATGATGGAAGATTTTGAAGAAAATGCGTTTTTTGACTGGAAAATGCGTGGAAAATTTTCTTTTTTTTTTTTTTTTTAGAGAAAAAGAGAAGAAAAAGGAGAAGAAAAAAAAAATGGAGGCAGATGTTTCAATTATTACAACATTAAGCAGATCTAGCCGAAGATATTTTTTTTTATTTTTTTTTTCCACCATTTTCTTTAGTTTTTGTATATTTTTCAATAAGTCGTTTTCTTTTTTTTTTAACGTTTATTTTCTTTTCTCTCCTCCCTCTCCTCTCTCTCTGACTTTCTTTCAATTTTTTTTTTTTTTTGTTATAAAACCGTCTGATCTTTTAATGTTTTTCTAATACATTCGCGGTTTTGTCTGAAAACCAATAAAAAAAAACCATCATTTGTAATGATATAATTTTAATGTTTAGCTTATGTAATTTTTTTAATACTTTAATTAATTTATTATCTATGACACACGATATACGATTTTAAAAAAAACGTGTCAGAAGAAAAGGAGGAGGAGGAGGGGGTGTAAATAGTCTTTGGCAATGGTTATTTATTTTATAAATAAAATTTAAAGAAGAAGAAGACTAAGAATAATAGGAGTTTAAATAAAATCACATCATCCTATGTTTTCTAAAACACTAAATCATATTAAAATGAAATGAAAATACAAAATCGTGGAGAAGAAAAAGATGGAGAATAAATTTTTTTTGACTTTCTTATTCAAAATATTCATTATTTATCCGAAATGAATGAAATTTTCAACGGCCGCAAAATTTCTCTCGCCATTGCCAAATCCCGAAGACAAATTTTCTAATTCATTTAAAACAATTTTAATATCTTTAAATGGCATCCTTCCTTCCTTCCTTTCCCTTCCCCCCCCGTTTACCCATGACACGAACACGCATTTTTTTTTTTTTTTTTTAACAATTCGTATGGTACGATTGTCGCGCGAAAAATGTTGTTTCTGCCACGTCGATTGATAAAAATAAATATATATATATATATTAATACATTTTAAATTTAATTAAATAATTAAAAGAGAGTAAAATAAAAAAAATAGAGAGAGAGAGAGAGAGAGAGAGAGAGAAAAGGGAAAAGTAAAAAAGAAATAAAG